CTTGTCGAAATATTAAAGAAATATAATTTAACTCTGAAAATATGATACACGTCTTCAATGTTACATGTACATAATTTGTAACTTGTAGTTCAACGCGCCAAGCAACCGTTACATATCTATATATGGAGTTTTATCACTTTTCACACCTTTCTCCGGACGCGTGTTCCTCAATAAAACATCTTTCGACATCGAACTATCTCGATTATATTTAACATGTAGTTTTATGAATAACGTTTTAAGCGATACTGCTTAAACAAATTATGCCACGATGTAGTTGTAATTATTACTAAATATTAATTGTTGAGACGAGTACATCGATACCAAACTCAACCGCTTCCACAGTTAGATTCACTATAATAGCCGACTCAAGAGTCGCCGGATTATTTCATTACGATATGTTAAACATTGTTGTAACTATGAAAATATCTTTAATTAATTACTTTTAGTGATTGTTATTAACTTACACTAATTAACTGAACCATTATTTGCTATATTTCTGTCGCACCAGACAGAACTTATATTAAATGGTTGTAACAAAAGTTGTTTAGAATTGTTTAACGCAAATTAATATAATGTTTAATTGATAATAATGCGTAGCTCTGTTAAGCTCAATTTGTAAATTGATGCACGGGTATACTTAGTGTTGTTAAAGGTTAATTCCGAGTTACAAACTCGCTTCCAAATAATATCCGTTCTTACATTGTTATAAAATTATTAGTATTTGCATAACTAAGTATACGTGTGCTACAATACCATATAATATTAATATCGAATATTAATATCGGTAAATATAAATTAATTAACCATTTTCTTTACAATATTATAGCGGAATGTATTATTAATCATCATATTTGTAACATTTTTATATGTCATGAGGTATCGTTGGAAAGGCAATTTTCCCTACAATCCTAATTTCCAACTCCTTTATTTTTACTAATCATAGTTTTCCAGCCTCCTTAATTTAAACATTTGAATTCCTCCTTCCACTCTCTCCCACTACTGATCCGTCGGCAGGTCCGTCTCGCCGATGGGACTTTTCGTATAAATAGGCCATCGTTTGCCTAGTAAAATCATCTTTCTGATCAGTCTTCGTTCAAACCTTCATTGGTGAACATACGGCTATCGCTCTTTTCCAGAGCTAGTCTTCCGTTCTAAGTTGAACAAACCCAACCAGCCAACAACGACCTCCTTTAGTTGAAATAAATAAAAGGAAATAGTAACATACAAAACAAAAGTGAGTAACATATTTAATTTTACCATACTCTCCTTCGACTTTAATCTGTTGACTGTAGTTTATTGCTACAGCGTAGATTAGTCAACATCCCTGTGACTTTATCTTTTCGCTATAAACAATAGTTCTCTATTGTTACAAGCAACAGATAGTCACAACTCTCCGACTTTAATCTGTTGACTGTAGTTTATTGCTACAGCGGAGATTAGTCAACATTCCCGTAACTTTATCTTTTCGCTATAAACAATAGTTCGCTATTGTTACAAGCAACAGATAGTTACATCCCTCCGACTTTAATCTGTAGACTGCAGTTCATTGCTGCAGCTGAGATTAGTCAACCCTCTGTAATTCATCTTTGCGCTATACGCAATAGATAGTGACTCCAGCAAGTAACACTATCATTGCTATAAGCAACAGATAATTACCATTCCTTACCTTGTTTCCTTCGATCACCTCAAATATGAGAACATAATTCCACGCTTTCGAACCAATATCGACCTGCAGTCGATAACATACCCTCTTCAATCCAATCTTCCTTACCGACACTACGCTTTTACATAAGCAACTCGTCTAATCCAATCCACTTTGATTCCGCTATTGATTTATCGGTGACTCAGAAGGCTAGTGGTTAGTGGGCTGCGCCCAGGCCAATAGATAAAGAGATCAACCGGCGTCATTACACCTGTTTTCTCCTTTTTTGTTTTGACGTACGCATACAGTCATTCTGTTTTATGCGTACCTATATAGTCATTATACACCAGAAAAAGAGAAAGAGAAAGAGAGAGAGAGAGAGAGAGAGAGAGAAAGAGGAGTACACAGTACGAACTTTTGGCCTTTAGCGAGGAAAAACTTTTCTCGTGGGATATTTTGCTGCGATGCTGCGCCACACGAGTCTCTCTTTCTGAGTGCAAGCTAGTAAGCTATTTTCAAAATCGACCACCTACGCTCTGCATACACATACGCACACGTGCATACTCTTTCCGACTTTAACTCCTTTTATGGAAAACTAAACTTTTGTCTATGTACTCGAGCGAAGCAGCAGCAGCAGCAGCACCTTTTCTATCTTATATATACTTGTCCTCTTCCTTCCACGCGCTTTTCTTCCTTTGTTTTGCCATTTCAAAACTTTATCGTTGTCGGGGAAAGCTTTTGCCTTGCAAAAATAAATGCCATCTCTTCCAATATGGCCAACTTACTCCATGCAGTAAGTATGTATGCTAATATAAAACGACAAGGTAAAAAAAAATGCATTTTCAATTCGGGTATGTATGTTTATGAATGTGTCGCGGACAAAACCTCCATGTCTCTCCCGGTGAGCTGACGTTATAAATTATTGCGACGAAAAAGGATATATATTTTCCAGCGAGATGAGCTCCTGAAGACATGCGCTCATAATCTTTTGTTTCGCAAAAGCTCGCCCGCACTGCTGCAGCAGTGGCCAAGCGTAGCTCATGCGTCCGCGTATATGCACATATATTACTCCCGCAGCAGCAGTACAAAGATAAAATATAGCGAAAGCTGGGGCTACGCAAAAATACGCGGTTTAAGGTAATGGAGTTCAGCATTAAAGACTTTAAATAATTAGCAGGTAGAAAATTGTTACAAAATATACTAGCAACAGCAGCTCCGCCACGTACGTATGTATCCAAATCGCATTAAATTACTTTTAATTTTACTCATTCTCGGGGTGGCTCACGAGCATGCGAAAAAAGGGAGGGAAACAAAAAAGTAGACTACTACCTAGTTGACCCATATAAGTTGGAAGCTCAGCTTAAAAAAATGAAGAGGACGACAGTTAAAAAAAAGGCTACAGGTAATTATTCCTTGTATTCTGGAAAAAAGCTTAGGAAATGAATAAACTAGTAGCTCGACGCCGCGCATTCTGTGCCCGAGCGAATTTCACTTTTCGCTCATGTGTGTGTCTGTACTCGTTTTCATATTTTCTTTTTTTTATGCCAAGTACGAGAGACTCGTATACTGCTGCACCGACAAGTACACATATTTATTATAATTGTGTAACTTTTTGAGCACGCCGTTTAAGAATGTGCCGATTTTCGAAATTTTGACTTAAATTTCAGCTTGTAATTGCATTGCGCGGATAGTAGAAATTCACAAAGGATATAAAATCCCGGGTCATGAGCGCGCATTTAAATTTAGGATGAAAAGGGAAAGCTTAAAAGGCTCACTCTATTTTGCGCTTGTGCACTTTTCTTCGTATCTTTTTTCTCTCTCTCTTTCCCTTTTAATGACGAGCACGAGTTCTTAAATCTTCTGTAAAAATACACAACTTCGTCCTCGAAATTTTCCGTTGTTAAGATTGTTGCGAGAATCGCCATCGCTTCCCGGGTGTTTCTTCAGTTTTTCTAGAAAATAAAAAAACACCTCCGATGCTCCTCTGTTGGTTCAGGATTCATGTACGAGATGCTAATTAATGTTAATGGTATTTTAAAGCCTTATTTTTTCGCTGTTGACTGATGAATAATTCACGTATTTTTACTCCCCTTCATGTTGTGTTTCATATACTCACCAATATTTTCGTCGTTGGAATCAGTCAAGAGGCACGAAGTATACATTCGATTGTTGAAAAATAGATTCTGCAACTAAAGTAAAGTGTCAAAAAGGAACTTACCTTTAAAAAAATAAGCAGTACTTTTTAGGAAATGGATATTTGAAAGCAAAAAAAGTAAAAGATTTCGGTTTACATGGTTCTCAAAATATTTATTTTATTCAGCTTAAGTTGTTTAATCATATTTTTGCAAATTGTTTTTAACCACTATCGATCGGGCAGGAAAAGTGTGTCCTCGCCGTACAGCCTAATCACATTTTGCGATTCACAAGATTACAGTTATAATTATATTGTTTTTTTTTCTCTTATTTTTGTTTCATGAATATTCCTCCGCTTCGCAGCTTTTAAGATTTATGATTTACAATTAGAGAGCTTTGAAAAATTCACGTTCATCATTGAGTTAGTCTCGTTATCTTATTATCTTGACACTAAAATGATAAACGTATCTCAATTGAATTGCCATAATTTTAGATGATTTGATAAACAGTCTGTGTCTCATAATTTTTCAGATGGTTCGCAAATTTCACATCCGTAAATCATCTAAAGTCGATATCTAATAATTTTTTTATTGAATTCTTTTTCCGATGCAATATTTTTACAGATCTATTTACAACTTTGTTACTTTATTAAATTGTTCATACATTATTGGTTTTTTGTCATTCCAACGACGTTATATATAGTTAATCAATAGGCAGTGTAGTTTTTGAAATTATAATTTAATTTTCGACCGAACGAATGAGAGTATGAATTCAAATTGTATAAATCAACGCTCTGGCCGTATAAAAATAAGTCTAACGCAGCTTGTTAACGTTTCATTAAAGATGACAGAGAGATAGAGCGAAAAACGTACGTTGGTTTTGAAAGCTCGTTCGTACAAGTTCTTTTATATATGTAACTTCATGCAGGCATACCTTTTTTGCAAACATATTAATTTTTCATGCAAGATATTAATTTTTTCGAAAAAAATTTCATTTCTCATTGGATTCGTCGCTATTACATCCATTCCACGAATGAATCGGTTTATCTACTATTTTACTCGAGGTAAATTTGGCACCAGTATTTTTCAATAACCTATTTATACAATTTTATTATTCACGAAAACTCATAGCAGCAATTCTTATACATCATTTTTTATTTTTTCAATCAACATTCCAATTTGAATTCAATAATTCTCGATTTTTAAATTGATATTCTGGCACAAAATTGTAAATATCTTACTCGTTGAAAAAAAAGAAAAAAAAATACGTATCAACTGCCTTTTCATTCCCCATCCTTTTTTTCCCTTCGAAAGCATTACATATATTTTAATACGCATGCATATAACATCGCTCGTGTACGTGCATACACTCGGTTATGCGCACGCCGTCGACGTCGTCGTCGTGCTACGCGCCGCGTGAAAATCGTGTCGCGCGCGAGGCGCACTCGTGTAGCTACATACACACGTCGTCTTCAGCTCTGCCGCGCGCGCGCGCGATGCATAATGTACAGCTCCTTTTCTTGCGCTGCTTCCTCGCCACGCTCGCAGCTCTCTCACGTACGCGTAAATATATTTTTATAATTTTATTTTTCATTTTTTTTCTCTGTCGTGTATTTTCGAGCTTCACCTACGCTGCGTATGCGGCCATGCACACTGTAACGGTGAATTTTTTTTTTTATTATCACGATCGAGGAGCGACATACTATACATTACAAAGGAAAAAAATGGTACATATTTACAAATTCGTCCATCTCTATGTTATTGAAAAAAAAACCTTATTACAGCGTCTCCAGGAGATTCTGGACGAGCAGCGTCGGTGTCGTGACTCGAGCCGCCTTGGTAGATTTTCTCCGTGCCTGCACCGCCGCGGCGGCGTTGGCCTGAGCCGCCGCGACCCCGCAGGTGCGCATACCACAGTGAGACGTAGTCTGGCGCTGCTGCTCGGACTTGTTGCTGTCCTGCTCGAGCTGCACCGCGACGCTTGCGATCCTCGGCCTCGTACGGTGGTGATGGTGGTGATGGCCACCGCTGCCGCTGCAGCCGCTTTCCTGCACACGACGCAAACACAATGACGATCGTGATCAGAGCGAGGGTCATTTTATAATATATATTACTTTTTTTCTTTTTTAGTTTCGTGCTCTCGAGTTTGCGCGCGGATCGTTGCTGCTCCATCTCGGTTACACAATGATCACGGCGCATCGCGCGAGCGGGAGAAACTTTTAATTACAGCAGTTCGCTCAGAAGTGTATACATAGCTATGTAATGGAAGAAAGGAAGATCGTAATCGAAGAAAATATTTTAATTGGAAATGGAAAAAAGCAGAGGAAAAAAAATGGGAGAACTGGAAAAGAAAACAATATCGACGTTCTACATCGAGAGAGACTCACCAATAGGCAGAGATTGCGTTGGGGCTGATAGCTGCGTTGACGCGACTCGTGCTGCAGCTGCCACGCCTGTATGTACAGATCGCCTCTATATATGAGGCCACCTCGCCTTGCTCTCAGCATTATGTGCCATCTGCAACGTATACGTATAAAACATCATAGTCGTCACACACCGACGTTCTTTCATTAAATCTCATCGCCTCACACTTTTTTCCCCGTTATTATTACTATACTGTTATTATCATTATTTCTATATAATTTTTCTTTTCACGGAGAGAGATCGAGAGAGAGATCGAGGGAGAGAGAGAGAGAGAGAAATAAATCGAACGCGATGCATTTTATAAAATATCGAAAATCGCGTAAAACGAGCATTGACGCTATGCTCCTCCGCTGCTATGTGCGCGCACGAGAGCTGTTATTTCGAATTGTGTGCGTGTAGTAGTACGTAAACATCGCGAGTACGGTACGTACGTAACGTCGATGATTGTATCTAGATGCATGCACGTGGAGAGTCGGAGCAGCGCGTCGAGCTTGCGTGCGTCGGCTCTGCTGGGCTTGTGGCCGTTCGAGAAAGCGCTCAGCCGGCTGATAAATCGAAAATTTATAGCTTTCCGCTACCTACCACTCTCTTTCTCTCTCTCTCTCTCTCTCTCTCTCTCTCTCTCTCTCTGGCTCTGTGGGCACGCTAAACTTTTCAATGCATGTTGCAGTATGTGTGCGTATATAACCCATGCCCAGCTCGTGTTGGAATGTGTATGTGTGTGTGTGTGTGTGTGTGTGTGTGTGTGTGTGTGCGAGCGAGCGAGCAGCAACCGATGCGCATTATACATTTTGTAAATTCTAATTCGACCCCAAGAGGTATAAAAAAAAGCTCGGATGCGAACAAAAACGCGCTCGGCACTCGATAGTTCAAACCAGCCATAGCTTCACGTTTTTCTGCCTCGCGTTCGACTCGATCGAGCTTGAAGCTAAATTATTAATGAGCGCAGCACTGCAAAATGGCACGAGATTCTATTAATAATGAGCAAATAATAAAGCTCGCACGCATCAGCGTCGAAAATATGCAAGTTGCCTGCGGGATCACGAGCGTGTGTCTGCCTGTGTGCACCCACGCAGCATACGCTGCAAGCTCTACTATATATTTATAGCGCGTATCTGTGTGTACAGCTCGCGCGCGGAATTGTTTATACACACAGATAACGCACGAGCGCTCGCACGCGCAAAGAGTAATATGTAAACTGCACACACGAAGCTTATATAATATTAAAATTGTATACATATAATGCAGAGAGAAAGAGAGGAGGAGCAGCGCCGAGAGTAGTTTAGTCGTGAAATTTTACGAGGGCACACACACGTATACGTGTGAGTGCGTGTGTGCGAGCGGCTACCTACTACTGATAGAACGTATGTGCGACGAGCTTGCGCAAGCTCACGCGTCCGCGTATAAAGTCAAAAAGGTACTATGCGCGTGCATTATAAGCGTAAACGCACGCGCGGCCCAGAGCAGATAAGTTAACTTCGTGTGTGCATGCTTGCTGCTGCTGCTGCTGCTGCTGTGCTTGAGGGCGATGATGTAAAACCGCGCGCGTAAATATATGCGCGAGGCGCGCTGTGCTGTGCAAAAACAAACATTACACAGGGAGCCAACTCATTGCGCTGTTTTGCTGCTGCTTATATACGCTCTCTTTTTTAGAATAAATCCCGAACCTCGCGCTCGATACGTGTCATTTTGCGAGTAGCACACACGCACGGCAGTCGAGCTTGCGCGCACGCTAGCTTTCAATTTTCCGCTTGGATCCCAAAAACTTTGCGAATCAAAAGCTCTCCAGAGCAGCTGCTACTGCTGCCGCTGCAAGCACATATACATATCTGGCAGCTCTCCGCACTGTGCAGCAGTGCGCGCGCCTGGCGCTGCTGCCAGTCAAAAAAGATAAACACACTCGACGGCAGCGCGAGTGTGTGCGCGTGTACGTGTGGAGGAAACCACTTTTCGCACTCGCGTGCACTAGAAAACGCGCGAGTGCATGTGCATGTGCGAGCGCGGATTAATTTCTCATAAATCGTTGCGGAGGTTTTTGCTGATTGCTCGCCGCGTATACTCGCCCACTGCGATTTCATTTATTATCTTCTGCCCCGCGCGTGCGACTGTGTGTCTGTGTGTGTCTGTCTGCGTACCAGGCACTATACTGTTTCTGTGTGTCCACCATATACTACTCTCGAAAAGCAATCAAGCGCTACCCATGCTCGCACACATACTCACGCACATATAGTACCCTTACGACCTGACAAATAACACGCGAATAATTAAAAATCATGGCGTAAAACTTTTTCAATTTTTCATCCTCGAATTGTCGGCCTGTATAAACAATGTATTGAAGAGCCAAAGAGCCGATACGCGATTCGCTACTGCTGGTGCTGCAGTCGCTGCTACAGCCCCTGCAGTAATAACGCGATGTGGTCAGGGCACTGCGCAGAGAGATGGATTCTGCGCTCATGTGCGTAAATTTTTTTCTCTATACATATTACACGACCACGTCGTTTCATTTGTTCGTTCTTTAATCTATATACGTGCGGAAGGTCTCGTGTGCCCGAGATGAGTCGTCGCTGTATTTGTTTTTGGTCAGGGCAAAAAAAATCGTTACTACCTTTCCCTCTTTCGTATTTGCCCTTTCTGTGTATCGAAAAGCTGTTATTGTTGCTTCAATTTTTTGTTGTTTCCAATACCTTACCGAGTATGCGTATGTTGTTCGACGTCGTATCTGTCAGGTGTACGCGCGTGGTGCATATATTGACATTTTTTACGTTAACGCGCGCGCGGTGCCAAACTACATATTTACTCTCTCTCTCTCTCTCTTTCTCTCTCACTGCGAATATGAATTTATTATGCGTAGATATGAAGCACGCCCTCACCCGTTATATCAAAAGTTTTTCATTATTTTCTCGGCTTCCCCCTCGATGTGTTGCTTGTACAAATTCAAAGTTTATTTCACGCTCGAGTAAAATATATATATTCCAGTCGTAAAGATAAAATGAGTCGAAATACGTGACAGCAGACTGACTGCGCGCAGACTGGTACGCTTGGCGCGGCGTAGCATGTGTAATTTTCGCAAATGATAGGAAATTCTTTGAACATTTTTACCTTGTTATTAGTTGGTGAACTCTCGGCCATTGGCCTCGGGATCTCAAAATCCGCGCGGTGCCCAGCAGCGAGGACCTGTGCACGGGCGAGATCTCCAGACCCTTGAGGTAGTACTTGAGAGCTTGCAGCCACTTTCCTGCAAGTGAAGTTTGAAATTTTACACAATTATAAAATCATCCTGGCATATATTAATTGGATAAAAGAGCTGCGAACAAATGTGGAATAACGTTTTGAAATACCGACCATTTTGATGTAGCCAGGAGGCGTACTCGGCCAGATAATCCGGACTCTTGGGCTGCAGGCGCACGACGTGCCTCAGCAGGGCACCCGTGGCCGAGCCACTGGTCATCCGAGCCAGCACCAAGTAAGCCGGCGTGTAAGCTGGATCGAGCGCGACGCACTTTTGCAACATCTTTATACACTCCTTGGTCCTGTTGGTTTTTCTGCATCAAAGAAGAAGAAAAAAAATCACGTAAAGCAGTAATTAATTAAGTTTTTTTTAAACCTTTGCAAGCTCACTTGCATCGCGGCTCACATTATATCTATATTGTATCCGTAATCGGATTTGACGCTGATCAAAGTGTGCGGTCTTCGCGCACACTGCGAGGGAGAGAGGGCTGAAGCCGCGGTTCGGCCGCGAATTAACAGCGGCCGCGCCGACAGATATGTTGTATAATTAACTTGAGCAGCTGCAGTTGCAAGCACTCTCTCTGTCTCTCTCTCTCGTCCATTGCATCGCGTTCGCGTGTATTATAAAGGACCTAAAATGCCGAATTTTCAGCCGAGCATAGTAGAGAGAGTTTGACTATTATTATAGAATAAATGTTGCACAGCAGCTCCGAGAGCGAGCTGGCCAGACGCGAGAAGAAATTTAATTCTCCTCTGTGTGTATCATGTACGCGCGCGGAGTGTACTACGTTATACCTATGGGCCGTATATAGCCTCTCTGTACTGCACGCTGCAATATTGTTCACTCCCGCCTATAATACGTATTAATCTTCCGCTCATCTGACCACGCGCGCGCGCGCGTGCATGAAAGTTGCCTTTGTGATTATTACATATATGTACACGTTAACAAAATTTATCACGATTCAGCGGCTTTTCGCGCAAGCTTATTAATGCAATGATAATAATGATAATAATAATAATCTGGGTAGGCTGCAACAGGCACGATGTAAAGTAATACTTAAAATTAATTTTGCAAGCCCGGTTGATTATTACGTACAACCGGCGTTTACACACATTACGTACATGATGTACAACGTAGTCGCATGCGAGCTTTGATTATTTACCTGTACAATTGGCCGAGGTTGTAGTGAGCGTTCACGTGGCCGGGCTGGGCCTGTATGGCGGCGAGAAAATGTTTCTCCGCTTGGTCGCCGACCGTCAAAGTGCCTAGATTGTTGTGAGCGCTGGCGTACGTCGGCCACAGCCTGAAACAACAAAGAATGAAGAGAAAATTAAACAAAAGAAGTATGGATTTTAGCTTCTGTGGGATATAGCATCGATCAAAGACCAATCGAGCTTTTCTAATTGGCCAATTCGCGATCAGACCAGTCGATTTCGGAGAGGACGGCAACTTGAGCTTTTATCTCTCTCGACGGTATAGAGACTTGTATCTGTGGTTTCGTTTCCATTTCACACGGTATATAACTCTGTCTCTGTATCTCTCAGTCACTGTCTCTTTAACGTGCCACCATATACACACAACTTATATAGCTACTACACGAACGTGTGTTGTGCCGTCTGTCGACTTTGAACCACGACGCGCGTGGATTAAAGCTTGCGGTTATACAATCCTATAGCCGTTTACGTACGGCGCAGTACATATATACCATGTATTATACGTTTGTATGTGTATATGTTGTGCGGTCGCTACTTAACTACTTGTGATGTAAATTACATGGTCTATATGAGCAATTCTCTAAATGAAACGCATTTTTGGAGGTAGAATCGCGGCAAATTTTTTTTTCAACCTAAGCGGATACGGACCCCTGGGAAATGTTTTTGGGGGTCCTAGGAACATGAACCCACGTAGGAACCATTGAAATTTCAATAGTGCTTACTTTTATAGCTACTTTTGTGATTTAGAGGACGAAAAATCATGTTTTCTCGTTAGTACGGCTAATTACTCAATTTCTAAGTCGTTGAAAAAGTATCAAAACTGATCTTAAAAAAATAACTGGCTACTGTGTTCGATAGGAAATGTTCTCAGCTTTCCAATGGTGGTATCAGATTTTCCGATAAGTTGCACATTCACCGAGAAAATCGCCATCAAACATGCCAAGCTAAATATCTCGAAAAACTCGGTACGGAAAAAGTGATCTTTGAGGTTTATTTTCGATTTTTCCTCGTGAAAATGAAATTTATCGAAAAATCTGACTACACCATGAGAAAGCGGAGGAAATTTTCTATCGAAATCATATCTTCATTTATTTTTTCAGTGGAATTACAATGTTATACATCGGAATTTCTTTTACGTTGTTCGCTGTTTTCTGTTTCCGAGCTGATACAGCGCGGTCGCGAGGTTTTCGGCACGCTACAGTCAAAACTAGCTCGTAATTCCACTGAAAAAATAAATGAAGATATGATTTCGATAGAAAATTTCCTCCGCTTTCTTATGGTGTAGTCAGATTTTTCGATAAATTTCATTTTCACGAGGAAAAATCGAAAATAAACCTCAAAGATCACTTTTTCCGTACCGAGTTTTTCGAGATATTTAGCTTGGCATGTTTGATGGCGATTTTCTCGGTGAATGTGCGACTTATCGGAAAATCTGACACCACCATTGGAAAGCTGAGAAAATTTCCTATTGAACACAGCAGTCAGTTATTTTTTTTAGATGAGTTTTGATACTTTTTCAGCGACTTAGAAATTGAGTAATTAGCCGTATTTACTAGAAAACATGATTTTTCGTCCTCTAAATCACAAAAGTAGCTATAAAAGTAAGCACTATTGAAATTTCAATGGTTCCTACGTGGTTACATATTCCTAGGACCCCCAAAAACATTTCCCAGGGGTCCGTATCCGCTTAGGTTGAAAAAAAAATTTGCCGCGATTCTACCTCCAAAAATGCATTTCATTTAGAGAATTGCTCATATATATACGCGACATACACGTACGAACCCTAGAACGTATAAGCTATATATGCGTGTATATGATACGTCTGTGTGCATGTACGTATACACTCTTGAAACTTTTGACTGTGACTAGAGCACTCGAGGCGAGCGGGTGGGAGCTTTTATACTATATAGTTATATACACATTTTTTTATACACGTTCGACTCTTCAACTCTCCGTCCGCGAGCGCTGTAATGTTTTTGACAGTGCTCAGCAAGGCTCTCATCGAATTTTCCGAAAACAAACCTCTATTGTATTACACGAGCTGCTGTGTAAGTCATGAAAGTTGAATATCTAGCCCCATACCCATCCCTCTCTCATCTAACTATATCCGAGTACAGATTTTTTATCAAGAGCAAAAGAATTAAAAAAAAAAAGAGGAAAAGGAAAATACGTTTGATACTCCGTTTTCCTTGTAAAAGCTCCACTCTATACCGCGCGCGCTGCTGCAGCTGTACTCTAGAGCTTTTGCTCTAGGGGTACTTCATCTCCTTCTTAGAAATGAAATGGTTTGTAGAGGACAGGGGGGAGAGGAAAAGGGAAGAAAGTTATTTATTATCCAATAAAGGGACACTTGCAATCTAACGGTTTCTCTCGTCCCTTTTCGCCGACTTCGTCGCGAGCTTGCAGCACAGCGGGTCCTTCTTTATATATTTTATAATATGTAATGCGAGCTTTTGCGCAGTACACGTGTATGTAACTCGTGCGCATAATGTATTATAATTTATAATACGTCATCCGTTTGTCTTTGAGCGTAAACGTCGAGTAGTGCATCACACGAATCTCGGATTATATGAATTTTAATTAATAATTCAAGCACAGCGTGAAAATTGGAATATTTGACTGTTTCACAACGGCGTATACTGCTCATCGCGTTCTCGCAAGCTCACTTTTTCTTTCCTCTCTTCCTCTCTTCCTCTTTCCTCACGTTCGAGAGCGAGAGAGGGCGAGTGTGGGAGTATGTGTTGGGGGGAGTTTTAATAAGTTTCGTGACTACGCTCGATCGATTTAGTTTCAACTTGATATTATGTTCGAGGGGGGAGGTATATAGATATATAGAGTAATGAAAGAGAGTTAGTTATCTATATATACTTATATAATACCGTGAGGACCTCAAGCTTTTATTGAATTTTCAGATAAGATAGGGAAGAGAGAGAGAGAGAGAGAGAGAGAGAGAGAGGGATAGAGAGAGGAGATGGAGGCGCTCGCACACATACATACACGGGAAAGATAGTTGAGGAAAGTAAAGACGAAGGAAGAGGCGAGGGCGGAGGGAGGAAGGGTTCGAAGGGAATTGGCTTTTGAAAGATAAAAAATAAATTAAATAAAAAAGTTTTGTAGCGCGAGACGTGTATTGCCACTGCTGCTGCTGCGTACTCGAGAAGAGACTATCTCTCTCTCCGTACGTACTTATATATAAATATATACATGCCTTGAGGTTACGAGGACGACGACGCGTAGCAGTTGAAAATGAAATGAAAAACTTGCCCCTGATCGATATTTATACGATAACTACTCTCATGGCAGCAAAAATTTTCGCGATGAAATATCGATGCGACGATGATACGCGAAAAAGAAACTTGATATGCGTGTCGCGTGTCGGGCGAATCACTCGAGATAATTAAAGTGTATAACAGCACCGGGGGTACACGTATTGTATGTACGTAGAATATGTGTGCAGAAGAAACGAGTAGACTACCTTATTTTAAGAGCGATTTTAATTGTCGCGTCACTATTTAATTACGCAAGATGAACCAGATATATCTGTGCCGAGAAGTCACAAAAAAAAGAAGAACGAACGAACCGCGTGGCGTAAATGCGCATCCAGAAAAAAGACGGGCAAAGAAGAAAAGAAGTAATGAAAGGAGAAAGCATTGTTATTGAGATAAAAATAAAAAAAGAGCAACAGTTCTTTCCGAACTAGTGGATAAAATACGTGAGCAAAGAAAGAAAAGAACAACAGAAAAACAGGAAGCGAGCGCGAAGGGAAATATCCGTCTAATTGATCCAGTTCAAATCGACCGCGAAACAAGCTTCGATTTCTTCACGGTGTGTATGTACGTGTGTAGTACGTGTATAATACGTCTTGAACTGGTGAGAAAGATTCGCGAAAGAAAATTTTTATTTCATGCCACGTACTACTGCTGCTGTACTACTCGCGCACAGGACGGAAATAAATGATATCAAATCGAACAACTCGTCGAGGTCTCTTTTCTTCTACACAGGATATACGGAGACAAATGAGCATCGATATATTATTATCATGAAACGGCGGTGGAGTGTATAAATGGCTGCACTGGAGAAATTAATCGCGGGTCATGCGGAAGAGAACAGTAGAGCTCGTTAACGAGCTGATGAAAAATAATTGACAATTTTATCTTATGGATGCGCGCGTCGTGTAGCCGTTACATAGCCAAACAAGGCGGGGGTGTATATAATAACTGCGCCCGGAGGAATTATATAGACGACGACGACCGGTAGCAGCTCCATCAGTCAATATTATACAGCAACAACAAATTGTTCGTGAGAGCTTGCAAGCTTCTCGAGCAAGAGCTTCTTTCATCACACGCTCAGGGTGTTTTGTGATCGACAACACCCTTGGGCGTCCCTATAGTGCATACGGGGTATAAGATTGATCAAGACACCCGCCTGCCTGCCAGGGCTCTCTGTTCGTTGAATATAATCATGTAAATTCACAGCTCGCTAGCTGGCCTTTTTACTCTGTACTACGCGCGTGTCCGCGTCTTGTCGTAATTTTACACTCACCCCTCTCTCCTGTCTTTTGAACGTTGGAACTTTACGACTCTCTCTCCCTTCTCTCTTGCATGCCGTTGACAATGGAGGGTACGACGCTATCCATCGGAAAGGAGAAATTTCAGCGTGATCATCACGTAGAGCCCGTCGTGCGGCGGCGGCATCGTGTTTTTGTCGAATATAAATCCGCGTGTGTAATATAACGAGCGCGCGCTGCAACCGCCGCAAACAAAGATGTATTCCTATTGTTATGCAAAGCTGCGTCAGGGTATATAAGAGAAAATATTCCTTTCGACCCTTTCGCGTTTTCACCATCGACCAACAAACAAAAGTTTGTTTGTTCGTTTGTTTGTTTTTTCTGCATCCATTTTTCACACTTTCATATGCAATCATCATCGTCATCGTGCATTTTGACCTGCAGCTGTTGTATATATAAATATAGTTACAGTTAAGCGAGAGTCGATATTGGTCGAGTCATTTGCGTATTGAAATCGCGCTAGCTTTTTTCCGCTCTGATCTCTGCCACACCACCGAGTCAGCCACGAGGAGAGGTCCAAGG